GTAACGAACGCTCTATATCAAATAATAAGTTGGAGCAACCCATATATCCGTAAATATGAATTTTTTTTAACATTGTAATGCCTACATAGTGGAATTTGGGATTCATAACTAAAATTCACATGTACATAGGAAGGTGGCATTTTTCTTTTAATGAATTCAAGCACGGCTTGACGAAGTGACCGAACAGATGTTGTGAGGTAAACGTAGTTCGTCGATCATCGACAGTCAAAGGGTCAAAACAGTTGATCTCGAATTTAAAGGTCTGATTCAATGCATGGCCAAAGTCATTATTTTTGAATGCATATTTCTTTAAAGTACCGAAATTAAATTCTTTTAGATCGACCAGCCCCTCATGTTATTAACAACGACACGACGGAACGAGACTATAGATATATGTACCATGTTTAAACTTTTAATAATTGATACGTCAATCTTCCTCGTTAATAGGCTTACGGCATCGGTGAGCCTGAAGGTCGGTACACTCCGGAACAGTCATTCTGTGGGATTTCATGAATCTACTTTGCCGGTTCGAGCCCTCTTGGGCTCTTTCTTCGGGCCGCGCGTTAACACAGGCGTTGCCCAGGGTGCGCATACTTTTTCCCTCGGCCGGAAAGTGGGGACGACGCGACCATGGTGGGGACCAGGGCTGGGATAATTTTTCCCGCACGGCTCGCTTCCCCTCTTTTTCGCCCGTATTTCAATCCCCACTACTATTCCCCTCATGCGCCTTCGCTGACCATGCCTGGATTAACGGAGCTGCAAATAGCCATTCTTTTGAAACTGGTAGAATTCGTACAAATTCTCGTAGATGAGGGTGCCGATGACAACTTGGAAACTAAAAGGGGCGAAACACCGCTTCATATAGCTGCGTGAGGAGGACTACAAGAAATTTGCAGATTGTTAATCAAAAGAGGAGCTAACGTGGATGCCAAAGACAAATTTCGAGTAACGGCGCTGTTGGACTTGATAAGGGATAATGGCGACAAGACAGCGCTCCTTTTTGCTGCGTGAGTAGGACGAGAGGATATTTGCAGGTTGCTAATCGAAGGAGGTGCTGACGTAAATGAGGAAAATGCGTTTGGAGTCACAGCGCTACATTTAGCCGCTGCAAATGGTAATATACGTATCATGGAAATTCTCTTGAATTTGGGCGTCGACATCGATTCCACAGATTTGCGTGGTAACACTGCTCTATTTGGTCTATTCGTTTTGATAAAACATCATAGAATGCTAGATTAGTATTGTTAATTTTTGCCCTTTTTATTCTCACTATCTCTTCCTTACATTCCTTCTCAAATTGAGACTGCCCGCAGCTAGCAATCGTCATTTTAATTAGATGCTGTTGGATAATGGTAAACTTGTAGAGCTTCTTAGGCCTATACTGAGAATAGTTAACGAGGGACGCTGTTTTATGGTTTCTGTTAACAATGTTTACGTCAACACCATTTTCTATGAGAGTCAACGGCTTCGTCCTGATCGACGCCGGATGCGACATGAAGAGCAGTGTTACCACGCAAATCTATGGAATCGACGTCGACGCCCGAATTCAAGATAGGAATGCAGGTGTCCTAAAATCTGAGCCTTAAATCGTAAACGAGAACTGGCTTGAACGGTGTTTTATTAGTATTGTTTTTCAAGTTAACGTCCGAATCGTGTGCTATGAGACTTCTAACGACAGCTTTCCTCCTCTCTTGAGACGCAAGATGGAGCGCAGTATCACCCCTCCTGTTCGGCGTGTCGGTATCAGCACCGGAACTGCACAACAAATCGACGACGTCCAGAAAACCCTTTTTAGCTGCTATGTGCAGCGCAGTATCACCCCTGTTTCTCCTGGCGTTCACGTCGGCACCCCTCTCCACTAATAATCTGCATATATCTTCCATACCGGTAAAGGCATGATAGGCAGTTAGATGAAGTGGTGTTGAACCGTTTATACTTTTCGCGTTAACATTCGCCTTACGCTCTATGAGAAGTCGAGCGGCCTCCATGTTTCTGTATCGAACTGCCGTGTGAAGCGGGGTGTCGCCGTGCAAGTCCAGGCAATTAATGTCGGCACCCGAATTGACCAGGATCTTGATTAAATTTATATCCGTGCGACGTCTCCTGATGGTCAGATGAAGGATTGTGGACCCGTCGTTCAGTTTTGGACGTATATTCGCACCTTTCTGAACAAGGGACATGTACGGGTCCACTCTCCCACTCATAGCACACAGAAGAACAGGCGTTGTTCCGCGATTGTCTGCCGAGTTAATATCTGAGTTATGCTCGAGCAGTATATCAGTGATCTCTGAAGTTGTCCGTAAATCGTCTTCACTAGATGTCTTATGAGCCTCGTCTCTTAAATTAGAAACTGCAACGTGTAATGGTGTTCTACCATGGGGATCTCTAAAATTTACATCGACGCCCTGTTTTAAAAGAAGTCGAGCAATTTCTTTATAACCATGGGCAACGGCGGTGAATAATAATTCCGGCTGATCGCTTAGTACTGCGCCATTAGCGAGAAATAGTTCCACCATTTCGCGATCCCCATTCTGAACAGCGTCATGTACAGGAGTGACGTGGTTCTTATCTCGAGCGTTGACGTTAGCATCGTAATCTAATAACAGTTTTACCATGCCTCTGCGCCCTATAGCCGCGGCTATATGTATGTAAAAGTGTCGTCCTCCTCTTAAAGAACCTTATACTCCTATACAGACGATGTACATCTCCGCCAAGTTTCAACAGCTCTATGACAATTTTCATGTATTCTTTCTCGACCGCAGCGAGTAAGAACACGTGATAACTTGTATCCTTGGAACTGATGATAAGGCCTTTGACTGTACAGGGTGTAAACCTACAGGNATTCTCACTATCTCTTCCTTACATTCCTTCTCAAATTGAGACTGCCCGCAGCTAGCAATCGTCATTTTAATTAGATGCTGTTGGATAATGGTAAACTTGTAGAGCTTCTTAGGCCTATACTGAGAATAGTTAACGAGGGACGCTGTTTTATGGTTTCTGTTAACAATGTTTACGTCAACACCATTTTCTATGAGAGTCAACGGCTTCGTCCTGATCGACGCCGGATGCGACATGAAGAGCAGTGTTACCACGCAAATCTATGGAATCGACGTCGACGCCCGAATTCAAGATAGGAATGCAGGTGTCCTAAAATCTGAGCCTTAAATCGTAAACGAGAACTG